GCTCTCATGATAGCGTACGTCAATTGGTTTGTCTTTACGGCGATTCTGGCCATTTGTGACTCCTTGGTGTGTGTGGTGCTGGCGGTGGTCAAATGTAAGAAGTATATGATGGGTGAGCCGGCACAGGCCTATAATGATGATCCGGATGGCAATAGGTTTAGACGCGTTTCTCCCAATTATAAGTTCACTAAATCCGACCCCCAGTTGTTACCGGTCGCCCCCAAAAAGTCCGATAGTTTATGATTTTTGTCAATTAGTTGCCGTGTATTTTGTTTTGTCGCTTAATTTTGTTAATGTTTTCTGATTTTTAATTATATTTAACTTATTATTTCTATAATAAACTCATTGCTTATAAAGTTATAGTACTGTATAATTACTTTAGTATTACTGTATGTCTATTGGTTTTTGTTAGTGAGCAAAGTCTACCAGAAATATATGATAGTTATGCATAGGAATGGTAGGCGAAGGTTTATTATAAAGAAATAGGAACTGGATTAGTTTTACTGTTATATTGGATGATACGAATGAATTGAGATTTTATTTACAATTAGTTTTGTTTTTGTTTTTGTTTTCTTAATTAATTCCTTTCATTAATATTAGGACTCAACTACTGGGAGACCACAAGTCTTAGACCGTGTCNTTTATTATAAAGAAATAGGAACTGGATTAGTTTTACTGTTATAGTGGATGATACGAATGAATTGAGATTTTATTTACAATTAGTTTTGTTTTTGTTTTTGTTTTCTTAATTAATTCCTTTCATTAATATTAGGACTCAACTACTGGGAGACCACAAGTCTTAGACCGTGTCTTAAATCCTGTAAAACAAGATGTCTTACGAGTGCTGTCAGGGATGGGCTGATGAGTGACTAAACCCGTCTCCGGACACTGCACTGTAATGCCTGATATCTGTCCCAAGCCTTTGATCGTAGTTTTAGTCGTCTCTCCACTCAATACTCGTCTCATGTCTTCGTACTCTTTCTTCAGACGTCTTGTCCTCCAGAACTGACCGGTTTTGTAGCCATTCTTAGAGCCGAGGGCTGAGGCGGACGGCGCGCCCAATATCTTGGAGTCGCTTTCGTCGCCAACTTTGGAGCCCAACTGTGAAGCGGTCGGCTCTTCGGGTGCCGCCGGCGGCTCTTCCCAGGGCGGCGTCTCCTGTGCTTCTCCTTCCGGCTGTGGCTCTCCCTCCTCGGCGTTCTTCGATCCGCAACAACCCATGTGTCCAATCATATAACAGATGTCGGCTTACAATACAATCAATTTGTTGTCTCACAAGTACTGCAGATATTTCTGGAGATTAAATGTTTGTTCAGATTCTCTGTAAGTCTTACGGAAAAAGTGTTTTTTGAATTTCAAAATCAATTCACTATTTCTTACAGTTCTCGCGAAATTGGGGGTTATTTCGTGTTTCTCGAGTGCTGTCAGGGATGGGCTGATGAGTGACTAAACCCGTCTCCGGACACTGCACTGTAATGCCTGATATCTGTCCCAAGCCTTTGATCGTAGTTTTAGTCGTCTCTCCACTCAATACTCGTCTCACGTCTTCGTACTCTTTCTTCAGACGTCTTGTCCTCCAGAACTGACCGGTTTTGTAGCCATTCTTAGAGCCGGAAAACGAGCCGAGGGCTGAGGCGGACGGCGCGCCCAATATCTTGGAGTCGGCTCTCCCTCCTCGGCGTTCTTCGATCCGCAACAACCCATGTGTCCAATCATATAACAGATGTCGGCTTACAATACAATCAATTTGTTGTCTCAGAAGTACTGCAAATATTTCTGGAGATTAAATGTTTGTTCAGATTCTCTGTAAGTCTTACGGAAAAAGTGTTTTTTGAATTTCAAAATCAATTCACTATTTCTTACAGTTCTCGCGAAATTGGGGGTTATTTCGTGTTTCNTCCAATCATATAACAGATGTCGGCTTACAATACAATCAATTTGTTGTCTCAGAAGTACTGCAAATATTTCTGGAGATTAAATGTTTGTTCAGATTCTCTGTAAGTCTTACGGAAAAAGTGTTTTTTGAATTTCAAAATCAATTCACTATTTCTTACAGTTCTCGCGAAATTGGGGGTTATTTCGTGTTTCAGTTGATAAGTTGATGTGTTTTTGTATCAAATGATTTAAAATTTAAATACAAATTCCGTTAAAAATTGATTTGATAAGAGTTATTTTAATTGCCTTAAAGACAAAAGTTGCCAAAATTGTCTTTTAGGCAATAGAAATTTTGGTGACTTCTTATAAAGTTACCAAAGTGAGTTTAAGACCATATAAAACTCGATAAGAAACATTATTTATAATTCAAATCTTATACCAAATAAACGAAAACTTAATTTCTTTTGAAAAGAGTTTTATTTTAGGAATAAATCAATTCAAACATAATTTTGATAAAAGTCTTTGGGTTTGAAGTCTTGATTCCGAGGGAACGACACTTCACTCCTCCTCTCCTCCGGAGTGCGATCTCCTTCTCCTTCTTCGTCGGCCACCACTTCTTCCCTTTGAATGGGAACGCCTTCGGTACCTGACCGCCCGATCGCAGTGTCTTCTGCTCTTCGGAATCGACTTCCAGTTCATTGCGATTCATATTTGACTCAAATTTGAAAATAGAGTTCAAAAGAGATGAGAATTTTGTGACTTTTATTGACCACTAAATGAAGTGAATTTCAAATGAGAGTCCCTTTTATAGCCTTCAATACAACAATGCATTCATTCATTCATTTCTCGCCCTCTGAGTGAGAGTTATGGTCGCAATCAGTGCTCACTATTTAATCACGAGATTTACAAAACCCGTTCAAAAATAATTATTTGAATAAATCTTCATAAAACAAAAACTCAAATCTTAAACTATAAGTTATGGACCATAACTGACATCAAAACTAACTAATCTTCAAATCTAAAGACTACTCAAAAAATACTGAATAAACACTAGTAATGACAGATCCGTTGACAGTAAGCCCAGGGATTGTCCGACGCATTAGTCACCCAGTGATGAACCCGTTAGACAACAAACACACGGTTAGACCGGAAGGGATAGACATTTACGAGCAAATTAATGTCGTTCCCCTTATATTGCATAACGCCGTACATTCAACTGATCCCAAACCCATTGCACCGACAGTTACCGGACCTCCCATGAAATGGGAATCCGAAAGACAGTCACCTACAGGTGCTCCAGGAATAGGGTTAAAGAGAGCATTGGATGCGAGCGATGAGAGTCCCGACCCATCGAAACGTCTGGCCATTGATATAAAGACAACACATAATCCAATAGCTATTAATCAAGAGTTTGTTAAACACCTAGTGATTGAACTTCAGGCGCTGGATATACATAACTTACCTCCAGTTGCGTCAAATGGAGAGACCGGTGCTGACCTGAGCCTAATTGACGACTACGTAAGCCAACTCTTTGAAGAGGAATGTCTGGTTCCCATCGATCCCATACCTTATCCATGGGTATTACCCGTGGATTTTGATATGTCTTTACTTAATGTCAAACTCGAGGGACTGGGTGTGACAGCACTGGATGTTTCGTTTGATGAGTTTGACAGACCCTCACAACCAATGGCCACATCAGTCCAACAGATACCTGTGCCTCAAACATATGCCAAACGTCTGCTTATAAGTCCAAGGGATCGGCATATTACCAATCTATTGGAGGGAATGGAGTCCACCTACAGAATGGTAAACGTATGGGAGTTCCCAACAATAGACATGTTTATACAGATGGTGTCCACTGGAGAGACTGTTCCCAGACATAGGGAACTCCGTTGTTATGATCGGCCGACCCTTAACCAAGCGATCAGAAATTCACGGGAATTGGAGCACAATTTGGAGCAGTATTTGATAGGAAAGGGATATCTCTGGGATCGGTTGGGACTACTGGACAGACGGAAGGATAAGCGATGGGTTCGCCGACAGACCCAACGAATCCATAAACTTCTCAATCATTTAAAGGATTATGTTTTCAATCATAGAAACCAGTGATTTGTCCGCAAATGTACTCTAATTTTGCATTTTATTGTATTTTTAGTATTAATTGTTTTTGATTTAGTATTTTATGAGATTAACTGCTTTTAATTATATTTAAATCACATTTTATACATGATTTTCAATTTAATATTAATATGACATTGTATTAGTTATCAATATAATTAAGAATTTGTTGCAAAACTACTTTAAATAATAACCAAATATACTGTATTTATAAGTATCAATCAAATGAAACTGTACTGGACACAAACAGTGAAGGGAAGGTGCAATTGGTATCTATTATTGGTGTGACCAACACCCTGGTGCTATTTAATCATGATTTATATGCCTTAAACTTAATAGGAATCTCGAATATTCTGTATTTCAAACGATTTCTATGATATAATGGTGTCAGAGATGGCATCACATGACACACACATTCACTGCAAACTGCAGTCATCGTATGGTATAAACAGAGTCCACAACACATATGCCATTACTTTGGGTTTAATGATTCTCTCTTACAGTTTGCGCACAAAACCCACTCAATAAACAACATTTGGGGGACAGTTGTGTGGGTTCTGTGTAACGGTATGTATGAATGCAATCGCTTTCGTCATCCTTTATATTAATAACAGATTTTTGTTTGAATGACGACTGAATTGAAGACAATTTGGTCTCAAAAATGAATGCAATTGTGAGACAAAAAGTGGCCAAAAGTGGACATAAGTTGAGAAAAGTGTCCAAAAGTGACGATAAAGTGGTGGCGAGTGATGTGTCTGCGGACGACACCGCAGAGGAAGCAGTGGTGAGCCACTCGTGTGCGGCCACTGATGTGGAGGAAGTGTTTGACACGTGTATCGACTCACTGGACGACTACTTCCTCCTCAATCTGTTCTCCTAAAACTGCGAATTCCTCTTCTATCGGTAGCTTTCCCACACGTTCTCTACCGTGTGTTAGTAGTCTGTTGTCCACAGGTTTGTCTGCCCAAACCCGTGGTGAACCCGAGTTCTCCTCCTGTCAGACACATTAGACGCCAATCGCGACCATTGCGTGACCGGCGGTGACATCAGACAAGCGGTTGTGATGTCCAACGGATGGCTCTATGACTTCACGGACGACCAGACCATCGCAAACCTCGAGAACATATCCAAGAGATGTCCAAACATTAAGTGTCTTCATATGAGCCATAGTGTCATTGATGTGAACTGTTTTCAAGTGTTGTTCCGTTTGTTTCCCGGTTTAGAGTGTCTTCACCTCAAGAGTAAGTCTTAAACTATTGTCCTATAAATGGCTTTCAATTGACTGACGTTTGCATTGATTTGAAGGTAATTATGTGAAGGAAGTGCCAAATCAGACGCCACTAGAAGTGTGGCAATCGATTGGCAAAGTGTTGGCGCCGGCCGTCATCCACCTGTCCATTGATCCCCACTATGAGTACCGCATGAAGGAGTGCCACCTGAAGGCACTCATCCAACCGCTCCAATACCTGGAAGAGCTACGAGTGGGCACTCATTTCGACCGCGAAGTTGTCGGACATTTCATCTCATTTTTGCCCAAAAGATGTAAAGTTTTCTACTCTTTAGGTATGTATTCACGTCTTAAGCAATGATTGCATGTCTTAATGGTTATTATGTTAACTCTTAGGTCGGGAACTACTACTGGAATCGTTGGGCCATTTGATGCGGAACCAGAGCCAAAGTCTGACACACCTGTCGTTCTTCACGAACTCATTGCGAACGACAGAAGCGTTGACTAAAATTGGACACAACTTCAAGAATTTGGTGAAACTTAAGATCAATTTGTCGTTCAATGAGATAATCCTGACGTCTTCGTCGCCCATCTCCGAGTTGAAGCAATTGCTCGAGTTTTCGGTCGACTTAAACACATTCAGCGACTCTCACGTCGACGACGGCCTCATTTGGTGCATCAAAGACGGTCTGCCGTCCGTTAAGGTGTTGGAGGTGTCGCGCGCCTGTCTGTCCACCCGTGCCTTCAATGCCATCAACTATTGTTTACCACAACTCAACAAATTGCTTCTCAAGACCATTGAAATCCAATGCGTTTGCGACTCCATTGAGGGCCGCGACCGGACTGAGCGCTACAACTGCACGGCCTGTAAGCAGAGGTGTTGGCAATCGGTCGCCAATTTCGGTCAACTCCGAGAACTTCATTGTCTCAGCTATTACTTCAGGAGCGATAGGCC